TTCCCTCTTCTTCTTCCTGTTGCTCTCTCTATAACGGCTTGCCGCTACTCTGACAAGAGCAAGCATAGATCCCGCAAAATCATACGATTTTGCCTATGCTTGCAAAAGCAAAAGGAAAAAAAAGGAGTACTTGTAAACAAGGAAATCAGAGAAGAGTAAAATAAACATGTCCCGCAAGATCATACGATTTATTAGCGGTACCACAAAATCGCATGATTTCGTCTAACGGCATGCCGTTATTCCGCTCCTTGCGGTTGACACAGACCGACAGACACCCTACCCAAGGTTTGTTCGCGGCCGTTACAAAGTTTCATTTTTTTCGATTTAGGACGATGTGACCCCTTACGTTTTATCCAAAAAACCGAAAGTTTCATTTTTTTTCGATTTAGGACGATGTTACCCCTTACGTTTTTGGCAAAAAATGGGTTGAATACAAATCGATTGTAAAACGTTTATGTTCCACAATTCGAGCGATAATGGAAACAGAATGGAAGATACAAATATTTTTTGTTCCGACATTGAATCTCGATAAAGCATGTGGCCCAAAAAGTTGACTAACCGGTATTGGTTATATAAATATTGGAAATTAAATCATATAAAGACTTCTCATAAGAAGCTCTGGGTAGTGATTCACGTAAATAATTAGCCTATGTGATCCAAACCGTTCACTTTAACTTAGTATGACAAAATACTAATGTCCAACGATTTTTATCGCGAAATTTTGGAAATTGGAAGTGGCCTGATCAGATCCACTCTTAAAAGACCAAAATGAGCCAATGTATCAAAATTGATCAGAATATCGCCGTAATTACGACTTGCATGACGAATACAAAAATTCTTGGACGGATCTCAGACAGATAGACATACCTCAATTGATTCAGGAAATGATTTTGAATCAATCAATATAATGAAAGGTGATTCTATCTTAAGCCACACGACATGCATTCGCACAAACGTAATATAACCTGTATTGCAAGTGCTGTAAGATATAGCGACATTTATTAGGATTATAATACGTGCACGCCCCTAATAAGAAACACAATGGAAATTCCTTTAATTAAAAGAGAGTTTTTTTAAATAACATTTAAAAAAAAACAAAAAAAATTCATCTCGAGGCAACATACCTGCTTATGAATTTTAAGTGTGAATGCAGTAGACAGTTAATTTTTAATTATATTATACATTACATACATTAACTTTTCAAAATCATTGAAGTGAAAGATTGATGCATATTAAATGATTTACATCGGCTGTGACGATTGTAAATTACCTTGCACTAGAGGATTTTTAAACTGTATACGATTTTGATAGGTATACAAAAATGAGATCTCTTTAGTTCGGACACTTTCCTCGTTTCATTCGTCCATGCATCTTTCGCCATTACATTTCTAGCGTGAAAGTTATTGCAAAGTACGAAGGCATGGCAAATATGAGCAAAATTTCAAAATTAGCCATAGACTTATCTACAATATCAATCAAAAAATCTGCAATCTTTTATAGAAACGAAACCGAAACGTAGCGGAAGTATTCATCAGGTGCGGACGTGTACATTTTCAGCTAAATGAAACATTATGTTCAGTATTCATATTAGCTTCATTCGATTTGGAGAGCTGGAGAAGTGGCCGAGGTCAGGACACTCTAATCATAAAGACTTTGATGTAAGCCTTGCGTTCATTGAGCATAAGAACAACGTTTAACAGAAGAATGCTTTTGCAATAGCTGCGAATCCCAACCTTAAAGCTGAGAAAGAGGAGCTTGAAGTACAAACGCCGTCAAGGTACGTCGCGGATAGCACGCTTGGCCAAATATTTAAAGGACATGTTAACGCACAATAATGCCACTTTTATGTCTTGAGCATCCAATCAATAACAAGCGTAAAAAAATTGGTCGCAACTATCGAAGTAGGCGACCTAGATGGGTCTTTAGGAGACTATTTGGAATTAAGCAGGATAAAATGGCGTTAATATTAAGGCACATTTCGAGTGTCTGGATTCCAAGTTAAAATACGTAACTTTAAGGAGACCTTCGAGCGTGGAGAAGATCCTATGGCAGATACTGCAGATACGTTCAATGCGCGAACTAATTGGGTTAGGAAATGTTATATGTTATTTTGAAAGCACATATGCCCACGAAAGTTGTCTTAGTGAGAGGTATATCTCAATTCTTGCAGAATTTATCTAATTGCGTAGTAATTATCATACGTTATTTGCTCGCTTTCGTTGATGAAAATGTGATAGACTCCTATAATTTAGACATCAACTTTGGTCCTACGTTAATACCAGCCCCGGAAGATAACCAGGTGCAGTGCCAAAATCAAATCAACGAACTTATCAAAAATAAGTTTATCGGCCACGATGATGTTATTAAGGATAAGATATTATTGCACTGATGAGTCCATGGGTAATGTACCTCCTGGTAGAGATTTACCGCCACGTCAAAGCCATTATGTACATATTCAACAACAGCAACCTCTGTATAAATCACCAAAGAAGTCCAACTCATTGTCTGGCAAATTACGTCATCATCAGTAGATAATCTACGTGCTTCTAAAGTAATGATAGAGATGTGTTCGCTGAAATAATAAAACAAATTTGGTCTGTAAAGAAGAGGAAAATTATAAAACCAAATATTTACCATAATTAGTTTGCGTTATTTACCTTACACCACTTGTGGTACAGGGTATATTAAATTAGTGCGGTTGTATGTAGCACGCAGCAGGTTTTAAGATGGACTCACTTTTTATTATACCGATCGATTCAGAATCATTACCTGAATTGATCTAAATTTGTGTTCAAACTACAGGTCGCAATTTTTGAGATATCTCGATGAAATTTGGTTGAGAAACACGTTTTGATCCAAGGACGAACATTATCGAAAATGGTTCGAATTTGTCCTCTTTTTCGATCACTACCCGTATAACGCCATATTTTGAAAAGTCATTATATGGAAAAATATTGAAATTTTCAAAATTTGTGAACAATAGTAGCTAAGTAGTAGTATTTGGGGATTCTAAGTTTCTACCTTGTCTACTACAACTGCCTGAAACTTTAAAGCCTCGCTCCTCAAGATGCTGTTTTTGAAGTCCTACGGCATTATTTCTTGGAAACGAGGAGGCACCACTGTCCTTGAAATTTTGCCCAATTTGTCAAAGTTGGATTGACTAGTGCTTGTACAAAACTGTTTTCTCTCTTTGCCCCTTTACAAGACAATACATGATACAAACTTAACCTTACAAAATGAACCTTAGTCACGTTTTAACAGAATATAATTTGCTTTTTGATGTCTCCAACGACTGAATTTTCAAAACTTAGCTTAAACTATATCCCCTCACGAAATTATAAAGGATATGTTTTTTTTTTCCTTCGAAACTCTTTTAAACCCTTCATAAAAGTTTGATAAACAAAAATTTTTGATTCGCTTATTTTTTTTTTTTTTTTTTTTTATTTTGGTAAATAACCGAAGAGATAGAAATCAGAAGCTTCGACCTAAGCTAAACGCAATTTCCCTCTAGTCGACAATTACTAGTAATTATAATCTGAAAAACGGGTTTTACACAGTTTAAAAATTTCTACAATTTTTAACAAATACCACGAAACGTACGAATGGGCAGACAGAATTTTGAATACCCTACAAATCAATTTTGCTATTTTTTTCAGTCCTTTCACAAATGAAAGCATTTACGTAAAGTTAAGACAAGACAACCTTCCCAAGTGTATTGCGTTAAAATAAGCTGCGGGAAATGCTTGCAAAACATGTGACAGAAAATTTACTTGATAAGGTTTAAAAATTTTGATAAACTAATGCTATGTTTATTTATTGTATTGTGGGGGTTCCTGCAAAAGCACAGAAAAATTTCACGCAACGGTAATCAAACCCGTGCATATAAATTAACTGCTTGACTTGCTGTCAAAATTTGATAAGGGAAAGAACTCGTGAACTCGAAATATATTCGCACTTTCCAAAGCATCTCCTAAACAGGTGGCTAAGTTATAGCCACGCGACCCATTATTAAAGGCGATTTATGCTGGTACGGAGTTTTCGTCAATTCTTGAACTTTTGGGTCTAATTTCAGAACATTACCAACTTGATCTGCCAGCTTAGATAGGGCTTGAGTAATTTCTTGACTTCATTGCTGTAGGGACAAGCGATCTTGCGACACAACCAGTGATATGAATTTCTGATGTATAAGATTTAGCAGAAGCTACGCCAATCTAGGACCCAGCGTTAAGGTGTGTTCCACAATGCTGTTCGTTTTACTTTCAGCTGTATTGGTAATGTCAACTGATAAAGCGCCTCATTGCTGGCAGTAACGTTGCCCCATTAAGCTGACTGCCTTGTCGGCAGAAAATCATTACCCGTAAGCTCTTCTACGGAAGGGGTAGGCCAATATATTCATATAAGAAAATGTAACTTCCTTAGTCGTTCTTTTCTCCTTGTGTTCGCATTTCACATTCGGAACGAGACAATGAAGAAAATTATTGGACTCGAATTTTGTATTTATATAGCTTTGTAACATTAAGACTGCTTGAGGAAATGGACTAGGCCCAAACAGGATTAATATTTTCAATTTATAATTGAGTGTGAATCAGTTATATAAAAATATATAGTTTTATATACACAAATTATTATTTCTACAAAGCCATATATACGAGAAGTTGTGTGTTTTACATCGGAAGATTATGAAAGGGATAAAAATAAAAGAATTAAAAGAATTACATACTCTACGAATAGTCCATACTTTATCAGGTCACAAACAGAATAACAAACAAACAAACAAACAAAATCAATGGTTAAGAAATTATTATTGTTATACAAGTTTACATATATAAATATATATATAAATGTTTTATTAATATTTGCTTATCAAAGAAAACAAGCATATAAATAAAAACAAAAAAAAAAAAAACAACAAAATCTGTGCTCATCATTATGAAGTTTACAAATCTTTAGACATTTTTATAATGCAAATGCAATCGTAAATTTATTGAAATTTCTATTGAATCATAGAAATATTCAGTGCCACTTTACCAGCGATTGGAAGTGCATCGTTACAACTTGCAATATCCTCTTCAAGATGTTCTTAATATTTTGTATACTAAGTACATTAATTACTTTGCCACAAATTAACGGCGATGGTCTCATCGAAGTTTTTAAATGGAAACAAATGGATTATTATAATCGTGGGAATAGTGAAGGCACATCTACATTTACTTCTCCAACTAAGACAAATAATAACCGAAAAGGTAACGTATTAGTGTTTCTTATAATTACGAACATTAAAGACCAGTTTAAACATATAGAGAAGATATAAAAATTTTACAATTAAATTTTAACAAGCATGAAAAACAAGCATATGTTAAAGACAACGTTATATTTCAATTGTCAATGGAATTTCTTGCATACGATACTAAATTGAATTGAAGTTTTTAATAAATTATTGACATATAACAAAACATAGTATAAATAAATACATACTTACGATGTTCTAACAAAGCGAAGCAAAGCGAAAATCGTATGCTATCAATAAGATCAGCGTAATATCATATTTTAAGACAAATTGTTAAGCGCCATACCAAAAATATAACTAAAGAGGGGAATTGTGATTAGAACCGGATTGATTATCTCCATGAGTGGCCGAGTAAGCACCGGATCGTGACTAACAACTCAATGCTTGCAGGTTTAAATGTCAAGTGTAGCAGAGTTTTCAATACTGTCGCTAGACTTAAAACACTAGCTTTTGACTTTTTGAGCTTGTATTTCTCTGGCTAAATTAATAAGAGAAAGAAAGTAATGTTGTTTGGCGGGATCGGATCTTGCATACCCACTACTATCATTTTTCCATTCTACTCTACAACTTCTTCTAGTTGATAAGCACGTCGCCGGTAGATTATTAAGAAAAAATTAATCCACCAGGTCGCAGTGTTCACCATATTCATTTTGGAATGAATCCATTTTTAGGCAGATAATTTACCTTCATTTGAGAAATGTACAAAATACTTTTAAACATTTTATGTTGTTTGCGTTATGATAAATAAGCATTTAACCTAAAAAGTGTGAAACAAATAATATTCAACCACTTGTAAGTTTGTGTGGGCATGGCCAATTTTTTCCATTTTTGCTCGTAAAAAGTAATGGGTTTCGTAAAGTAAATGAGGCAATTATCAGTCTTCGAACTTTTGTAATTTCTGAATAGTGAGCGAATGGGTACAAATTTTTGGATACAAGTACGGAGTTACGTTCAGTTTACGCTTCACTGCGGGCTTCTGCTCTGACCAATTTGGCCAATTTTCAATACTCGTTTCACGTGCCTGCAGCATGGTGTAGTGTGAATCTTTAAATTTCACCTGTCAAGAACATTGTATTCTTTGGACGTGTGATAAAGTTCCCCATGAGTTTATGTCTCTAAAAGCCATATCTTAAATGGAAGCTTGAATACCAGTTAACACACCTCCTATCTAGTTGAAAATGATGTTGACGTTAACCAATGATAATTAACTTACATATATATCGTGTTTCAGTTGCGGTATTCACTGACAACTGTAGCTTATTTGTCATTGTTATAATTTTCTTTTTTTATCCCTTACAGGAGTTATATATTTTCCCGGTCAGTATTATGGGGCACGTAGTAAACGTCAGCAGGAGCAAATTGAAAATAATACAAATCCCTCATATATTCCATATAATAATGTACCGATGGGAGTAACGCATTATAATGAACGTCTATTTATAACTATGCCTAGACGTAGAGTTGGAATACCGTCAACACTGAATTATGTCGATTTACGTAAAGATGGTAACCAAATGAGTCCAAAATTACATGCCTACCCGGATTTTGAAACTAATCAGCTCAAGGTGTGCGTCGAGTTTCATCTTCATGTAGAAATCATTAATGAATAGTTGTTGTGGTTTTTGTTATAGGCAAACTCGGGAAATTTAGTTTCCGTTTACAGAACCAGTGTGGACTCATGTCAACGTTTATGGTTCATTGATACGGGTATATTGGAATATCCTGGTAAGTTATATATATATATATATATATATATATATACATTATAGAAAAAAATATCTCTATATATATACCTATGAAAATGCCAAAATTCAGATAATCGAATGCAACTTCAGAAGCCAGCAATATGGATAATGGATTTAAGTACAGATCGTTTATTACGACGTTTTGAGATACCAGAATCTACTGTACAACAAGGCCAAGGTTTGGCCAGTATAACTATCGATACTGATAAAGGATGCGATAAAACTTTTGCATATATTCCGGATTTGGTTAATAATCAGCTTTACGTTTATAGGTAAATACATACAGTCATCTTTTATACTAAAAACATTACAACTTTAGTTTGTTCCAAATAAGTACGCGTACGTGACTTCTGATTACCTAAAAATTGAATATTTTTTCTTGAGATATTTGGTGTGTAAAAATCCGGGGAAAATCCGTTAATTTTTGTATGTTTTTCTAGCTTGGAAGCAAATAAAATTTGGACATTTCAACATAATTACTTTCATTTCGATCCCCTGGCCGGAGATTTGAATATCGGCGGTCAAGCATTCAGTTGGAGTGATGGAATATTCTCAATTACAATAGGACCCAAAGATAATGATGGTTCACGTGTAGTACTCTTTCATCCGATGGCAAGCCATAACGAGTTTATGGTATCGAATAAAGTGCTGCAAAATGAAAGTCATGCCGAGAACGACGACTACGATAGGGACTTTCAATTGCTCGGCAGTCGCGGCGATGCCCGACAATCGACCATGCACGAATACGATCCTCACACTAATGTAGTCTTTTACGCCGAAATACAGCGTAATGGCGTTAGCTGCTGGAATACAAAAACGCGTTTTTCTCCCGATAATCATGGCACCGTAGCACAGGATCCGCAACTCATGATCTATCCCAGTGATTTGACGGTAAAAATTTATTTCCAAACCCTTCTCGTAGATAAAAATGCTGATTTACGCTCGGTTTTGCCCTCTTTCTCTCATTTGCAGATTAATGAAGACGGGGTTATGTGGGTTATGACCAATTCCATGCCAATTTTTATATATTCAACTTTAGATACGAACACTTACAATTTCCGCGTTTGGAAGCAGAAGACATCGGAGGCCATTAAGAATACAGTATGCTCTTGAAAGCAATAGACAATTTTTCATATAATTTTTTTTTTTTGTATAAAAGAAGTTTTATTTTCTATAGATGTAGATTTCAATAATACGAAAAAAATATTTGAATATTCTACAAATAAAAAGATGAAAAAAAAAAACGATATCACGTCATAAATCTAACATTGGAAAGTTTATAAACATTGTTAAGACAACTAAATACGCAAATAAATAAATCGTTTCGTTTAATAATAGTAAAAATGAGGCACTCTAATATTGCATACTTTGATAATGAAAAGAAATTATTAAAACAAAAAAACGGAAATGGAATGTCCAAAAAGACGAAACAAAAAAAAAAAAAAAAAGGAAAAGACTCTGAAGGATCGCTTCTTTAAAAAAATGTCACTTTATTGAGCGGTCAGTATATGAGTAGTCAGCCCTCTTTGTCAGTCAGACAGTAGAGAAGTCTTAACGTACGAAACGAAAACAAAAAAAAAAAAAAAGAATTATGTTCGATCTGAACCGAATCTTTTAATATCCACCATTTGTTTGCTTGTTTGTATTTTTCTGTTAATCGTAACATGCTACGGAAGCTTAAGAATCTTATTCTACAATTATAAGATAAAAACATTTTTTCTAAACATAACAAAATATAAGTATATTAGCCGAAGGTAATTTAATAAAAATAAAACACGTTCGGGGATTACATAAGATCGTATTAGAGAAGAAATGATCCAGGTTTCGCTTCGAAAGTTTGAATTTTAGTTTCTGAGCGAGACACTCGCTTGAGTATGGAACTCAGCCTAATTGAAAAACGTATAAACTCTTGATTTGATGGAACTCAAAATCGGACTTTGGTAAGCCTTATCTTGTAAAGTAATGTGAATTAATCAAAAATACCGCTTTGTAGGGGTAAATTAAAAGTTTTCGTAATAGGTGAATACAAGTTTTTTAAATATAAATAAACATAAGACAATACTTTCGAGACTTTAAGCTAATTAAGTTAAGGAGAGAGGAAAGCAAACCATAAAGAAAAGAGCAAATAGAGGAATATTGCTATACAAAGTACACACCACTACCAATTTACGGGGTATTGGGCTGGATATCAGTTGCAATACTGGAAAATGTAATCAGTTTCGTAATCAACTCATCGCGTCTCGAAGCTTCAAAAGTAATAGAATACTTTCAATTACGTTATTCGATTGAGTTAATCTTAGTAAGAAAGCGAATCATTTGCTAATTATAGATCTGCTTCTAACAATGAATATTGCATTAATTCATTACATGCATATTAGGTAGAATAATGCATAAGTAGGTAGAATAAAAATTTGAATTTTAAATTCCGCTATAAGTTGAATAATTTTTTTTAGATTACCTAATAGATGGCTTCAATTTGCATACTAATGAAGAAGAACCAAAAAAATATAACCAAAGCTTTTCGTACTTTTCAATACTCCCTTAACGGATAGATAGACGTTGATCATAAAATAATGACAAATTTTATATTAACTATCCCTCGCAGTAATTTGCATCAACTGGTGCGCATTGTCGTTTTTCATGGATATTTCTATAATAAAGGCTCGTTACAAGCGGTAATGGATATTAGATAACAAAGTCAGAAACCATACTTGCAGTTACTTCATCTAGCTTGGAATAGGAGGAGACAGACTGGAAAACTTGTAAACCAATAAAAAAAAAAAAATCATTGCCTGTTTGTTATGCCTAAACGTGTTTGAAGCTCGCAAGCAAATAAATGTTGTCCACTATATTTAATATGCGCGTAGCTCTAATAGTGTCTACTTCTTATTCTTAAAATTATAGTTTTTAAATTAAGTGTAGGTGTAGGTGTTGTCTCTTAAACTGGCTTTGTATATAAAATATGCCATCATTTAAAGACTTAATTAAAAATTACATAAAATACATGTGAGAATTTAATATATATGGATCTGTATATATATATATATATATATGTATGCGTTTATAAGATTAAAGTTTACTAAAAAAGAGTATTTGTGAAAAGATGTTTAGTATTATATTAAGAGTAATATTTGTGACTTTTTCTGAAAAATTGCAAAAATATATATATTTATGTATATGTATATGATTTTTTTTATTTATAATAACAGCACGTTCTTAGTATAAACTGGATTCGAATATACTTACTTTATCATTTGTAAGGATTGACTGACTATACGATAGCAGGTTTTGTTATTAAAATTAACTGCACTGAAGAGATTCCGCTTTTAAAGTCTCTTCGCCGAAATTACATTTAAAATCTCAGTTATCTCTATATATATTCTATTTTGATTCAGTTTGTTCGCGTCTCGCTAATCTTAAAAATTAAGGTTATTGCACCAGATAGTCTTTGTAGCTACGTAGCGATTTCAATTGTTTTTTTAGCTTTGTTATTAAATCGGATGGTTGAACTAATATCGATATATCACGACCTACCGAATTTAAACGATCACGTATCTCGTTCTCTTTGAAGAACAGATTTAATGGACGGCCATTAATTTCAGTAAGTATCCAAAATGTTAAAGTGGAGCCGTCAAATGACTGAGCCTTAGGCAGGAAAAAAAAAAAAAACGTTACATTACAACAAAGTAAATTTTTAAAATGATTGTATTACCTTGGGTGGTAAGCCATGGCGAGCAGCTAAACTATTTGGTACTACGTCTACAATGGTTGCCGTATTACCATCGCGTATCAAGCCCAAACATTGCCCTTCTCTGTCTCGTCTTATTGCATAACCACGTCCAAATGGAATGCGCCGTAACAACACCTCAACCTGAGATAATACTGAATTGGTAAATATAATGACAACAACAATAACGTCATCAAAACATACAAAAAGTGTGTTAGCGTTTCGTATGATCTTGTTGGCTTCTGCCGCTGAATTAATGGTGACACCAGCAATCGATAATAGCTGATCGCCGATATGCAACGCATTGTAAAGCACTGGATGCTCCCTTTGCTTCCAGCCCGCAACCCTGATTCATTACAAATTCAAAACATAAAATTACTAACATGAGCAGGTTATGTAATGCCTTACCAAACAGCACCAAATGCATCCACCCAAGCTATTGAGCCTAAACAATCCTTTCGACGCAATTGCAAGCGTACACCTCCTGGATGCATTATTTCACGACGCAACTGCATTACTTGTTGCTCGCGAAGAGACATTCGTTTGCTGGGTGAAGCTGATGTTGGAAGATTGATGGCACTATTAGAAATACCACCTATGTTGTCGGCAATACGAAAGGAATGTGGAGGTTGACGCAATGGTCCATTTCCATGACCACTAGAACGGTTAGGTAAGTCATTGTTATTTGTGCCCCGAGATTGCTGCTGAGCGTGAGCATCTGACGTAGATGAACTACGTCTACGCTGCTCTAAAGATTCAGAGGCAACACGACTAGTCGGCGCAAAAGCAGAAGATGATGGGATGGCAGTGGAATTGTCGCCGTTATTATTAGAAGATTTTATACCTTGTTTTATACCTTGGCCGATGTTGGCATTGGTTTGTTGTGAGCATGGCTTCTTTTTATTTGCTGCCACTTTATTAAACAAATGAAAATCTCTACGACTGGGACGCGTGGAAATCACGGCTTCAGTATGACCTCGAGTCAGAAGAAAGGGCGTTCTGCTACAAAACGGTTTCTGACTGGTAGTTTCGGCAGAACGGATATTTTGCGGAGAAGGGATTCTACGCCGTGACGATAACGAACTGCTTGGCAGCGGATGAACGACAGAAGTCGTTTGTGTATTGGAAGCTTGGGCGGAATTTTTATGAACTTTATCTGCACTATTAACATGTTTTGGACTCTGAGGTTTACATTTCTGTTTAAATTCTGCGCCATTGGCAGCCGAAACTTTAATAATTGGCGAAGGTGGCGCGACAGCTACTGCACCAGTATCTTCATTAGAGCTTGTCGGAGTTAATTGCCTTTGGCAATTCCATTTTGGTGACGCACAAGTACCGTGCGCAGACCCTGTAGATGCAGGCTTTTGACCACCACTCGGTACACTTGAAGATAGGAAAACTTTATCGTAATGTAAAGGATTAATTTTAACGGAAGTTGGCCTATCTTCTGCCGCCAACCCATCGTTATTTAAAGGTTTTCTAATGAGTATCACTTCTTCTTTGATATTATTAACCGCTATATTAGTTATGCCAGATGCGTTGGCTGACAAAATGATCTTTTTAGACAATTTCGGTGTCGACGTATGCGATGAAGATGCAGAAGTCGAAGGCGTTGTAAACAAAGTGCCATATGTAGTTTCTTTACCCAAAACATGCACCGTGGTTATCTGTTGATTCTGCTCATCTGTCATGGTAGCTGCCGTTGGGGCGGACGGAATGATTTGTGTTTGCTTCTTTATTGGATTGGAATATTGATTGGCAGTTGATGCGCTTTGACTATGTTGCGCTTCACCAATTACTTGAACTGTTGTACTAGTATTACTACCAATACTGGACGGAATTATTTGTACATTACTTCTATAGTCATGCTGTTTTGTCGTACATGCTGCCAATGTTACTGGGATGAGGTTTTCAGGAAATTTAAATATTTCTTCTGCTGCGTTTTTATGTGAAAATTTTTGAGGATCTTGCACGCTCTCATGGTTGCCCAAGGATCGCACGTTGCCAGCAGGTGTAGACACTTGAATGATTGTTATATTCGTTTTAGCGTCAGTGACAGTTGGAGTTGGTTCCTTTAATACTAATGAGGAAACAAGATTTTCAAAATCTGCATTTATTTCCAATTCGGTTATGTTGTTGCCTTTGTTATTATTGGATATAGGTTGAATACTATTATGATCGCATGTTTCCAACATACTTTTTTGAGAAGACGATGGCTGATTATTCGGAATTCGTTTAGATTTCTCAGCTGCGCCCGCAGACAAAGAGCGTGATGTTTGAGGTCTGGAAAACATACGAAACAATCGATCAATAACGTTTTTGTGTCTTACTTGCTCGATTTTGTGGAAAAATCAAGAATTTTTCTCATTTCTCTTGGGTCAGGTTAGTCTTTGAAATCATTAAAACCAAGAAATCATACCGTTCATAAATTACCGAAAAGCCAAATATACGTAAGAACTCTCATATAAACGTGAATTGTAATTTAAGCTGTTCATCTTATCATCTATTGCATAATGTATTAAGCATTAAATTAATTAATAATTTTAATTTCAGTTATACTCTTTCAGATATTAAAAGCCCAAGTTAGAAAGAATTTTTTTGTGTTAGACGTATGTCCATATCAGGTTAACACTTTTTAAAACTTCTAGGTTATCGGTTTTATTTTATTTGAATTTTCTTTCAATCACATTTTTCCAAACAATTTTCCTCTTAAGAAAAAGCAAAATATTTGATGTAATTTTTTCGTAAACAAAAGAGCGATGAATAAACCAAGCGGTGACAATGAAACGAGCGATTCTGAATTGAGGCCGGACACTTTGGATCAATTGTATAAAGGGCAATTGTCGGAAATGCGTGAATTAGTATTTCGTAATGGTGAACCTAGTGACATTAACCTCTGCCTCAAATGGTTAAGAAGATTTAACAAGGCATGCACATCCGATAAATTCGCCCGAAACTGTTTATGCACGTTGATGACGCATCAAATTAGAGAACTTGCTTGTCTTGCTGAACCCTTTACCAATTTGAATAATTGCGGCCGGAGTCTCGAAAGTATATTGAGAGATCTGGACGAACAAAGTCGCACCTATGTGAGTGAAAGCTTAGAAACTTTCAAATCGCATTCCATGATCCCTTTACCACCTGATATATATTATAAGGATAGAAATTGTGATGTAGAAGCTGAATGCCATTATAATGATTTAAATGCGAAGACTACCCAATTAGAAGCACAATTACAAGCGCTACAGTTTGAGATAACTGAGAAATCCGCAGAGAACGCCAGACTAAAAGATCTAGCCGAAAGATATTGCTTTGAAAAAGATCGCAAAGAAATGCATTTAGATAAAATTAAGAAAGCCATCCTAGATGGTATACGGGCGAAATTGTTAGCTATGGAAGAAACGGGCATAAGATCACAACTAAATATTTTTGAAGACACTTTTCGTCATTATGCAGACGATGAAGAATTTATGGAAATATTAAGGAGATATGATAACGATTTTCAGAATATATTCGCTAAATATTTTAAGTTAGAATTCGATAAACGTAAATCGGTGATAGCTCAACACCTGAACAGTAAATTCTCAAGAGACAAATTGAAAATACGCGATAAATACGAGCGCAAGATATTCTTGCAAAATATATCTCACGCGTTAGATTTAAAATTGGCAAAGTTGCATTGCTTCTCAATAGTAAGGCAAATATTCATCAAGTCGCATGACGAATTTGGTGGTATGGAAATATGGGATATACTGACGGTTCTAGAAGAAAGATATCAAAGCGTTTTAAATGAACAATAATGCATTTAGATGCGTGCTTCTCTGTTTTGCAAACTTTACTCATTGTAAGATTTATTTTTTTTTCTTTTACTTTATACTTTTTACGCACCTCGGTATATGACGGTCGCATTGTAAGATATTTTGTAAGTTTTTTATTTGATCTGAAATAAAACAATTGATAATGAAGTTTATTTACATATTATTTTTATAACTTTTGCATTTCAAACCTGCTGAAGCCCGATGTCCTGTTAAAACATCTACTCTGACACTATTACTAACAGAGGTATTGTCTATACCTTCAGTTGGCTTTCTTAATAAAGGACCGATAGAATCATCATCTCCAGAGCTTTCACTAAGCTGCATATTTTTTAGAGGGGTCTTCAAATCTTTATCCATTGAAATTGCTAAAGTAATGTCATCAGTATCGGCTAATGAAGACGAAGATGAAACAGCTTCATTAATCTGCTCGCTATAAGCACTTATTGGATCTGATAACATATTTAAAAGATTTTGCGTAAGAGTATTCGACATGGAAGTAAAGGGCGAAGTAGTTGCAGTAACAGAAGTTGTGTAGCACACTGAGTTCACATGAGATGCCAAAGAGGAATTTGAACAGAGTGTAACTGCAGTAGTAACAGCATTTGCTACTGACGCGGATAAAGATGTTATGGCCAAATCACTGGTAGACGTCGAATGAACACCATTATTACTATTGCGTGTCGAAATGTTTACATTTTCGTTACTGTTGGTATGCAATAATGCGTTGGCTTGATTTTGAGTACTTTGCGGTGTAATCCTTTCAACTCCGGGCACTAAGGCAGCTGGAACGGGAGGTGGAGCAGGTAATGGAGATGTCGGATCCCTCGTGGGAAGCAAAGGTGCTCTAACTTCTGGTAATTTTGTATATAAATTCTCTCGAGGTGAAAGTATTTTCATTTCTCTTAATTTGGAACGCAGCGTTTCGACCCACTCTTGCATAATATCCCTGAAATATTGATTAGTGTAAAACAAAGATTAATACAACTTCAAGCAATAACCGTAAACGCTAGTCTTTCATTGCAAAATAATAATTAATAAATACTATAACATCTGCAAATAGTTTGGCAAAATAAGTAAATAAACAAATAAACGCTACGAAGCTTAGGTAACAGTAGGCCACTAGCGTGCGTGCTCAACTTACCATGACATCGCGTGAAAGCGAACAACTTCACTGCTCAATGTGACAACAAACTCAAATTCATGCGAATTCGGAATGAGTGCATGCGATATATGTAAAGCATCTTGCATAGAAACAATCCATTCCGGATTATGGGATGGCGCTTGGCGAGGATCCGCGTAACCTTCAAGCAAAGCTTCGGTATCATCGTGCACACAAAATACCACCCAACTTCTTTCAGATTTCTATAAAATTTCATATAAATGTATCTAGCATTTGCTTCAAAATGTGCACTAAGGCCTTGTACATACCTTTGGACCGACGGTAATTTTTTTTCCATCAGTCGTTAGGCGTTTAAGCCAAGTATTTTTATGAATTTCACGAAACTGTGCTATCATTGGCGTTACTGGAACCGTGTTATTCGTCGGCGCTCGTGTCATGCCGCCTAAGAGACCACTCGCCGCCGCTGAAATTATTGAAGCACCTGAAGCCGCTGCAGGGGCAGCCATTGAAGAACTCATTACAAAACCCCCAAATTATAATACCAGTAGAAAAATATGGTTAATTTTTTTGCTAATCTTTGACCTCTGCCTGACATTTGGATTAATAGTTATTTTGAATTTGTTTTCATATCATACTCTAGGAACAGTTGTTGTTGCAACTATTTTTGCTTTCGTGTGTAAATTTGATAATTATTCCAAAGCCGCTGCATTCGCATTTTATTTGTTCTGGGTGATTTTGTTTTTGTTACCGTGGCTAATAGTTTTCTGACAGCAAATTCCTTGAAATTCTTGTTTTCCTTGTATAATTCGCAAAATCGGATTAAATGAACACATTGCACTTTCTAATACTAGCATAGATTACATTTTTCACTTAGTTTAATAATAAAAAAAAACAATATACTAAAGTATATATTTTACATTCTTATTTATGCAAAGAAAGAAGGTATTTAGAATGAAATATGCTAGAAAAATGCAAAAAAACAACAGAGAACTCGTACAAAGCAATTTGGCGACGCCATCTTAACAAAGTTGCCAGACTAATTATACCTTCCATAACGGTATTGTAATAAATTTGTAATATTCAAATAAGAATATATGAAGCGATTTTCCCAATAATTATTTTTTTGTACAATACGAGCTGAATTGTAATAAAGCGCTAACCGCCACGAAATCCCTCACCAAATAGAAAGCGTTGAATGTGCATATATATAGATGTTTTCACTTTGAATTTTAAACCCATCTATCTTTAATGTACCAAACAATATTCAACTCTGGCACAAAAGGCCTTTCTTCAGCTCTTCTACCTAAAACAGGTCAAATCCAAATATCTCAATACTACTGTATTGCACTTGGAAAGCGTGTACATTAAAATCCATCAAAATGGAGCTTCTATACATATCAACTCCATGCGTTTTGAATTGTGTTCAAACTAATCTCTAACGTAGCGTACCGGTTGAGCGCAGAAACTGTAGTAATGGGAAAACATAATACGTGTGTCTTTTTAGACATAAATACTAATTAGAGGCAACTCTAAACTGTCACAAATTCGTAAAAGCATTATCGAAAACAAAAAAACAAATTAAACATTGTCGTTGGAGTAAGTTGAAATTAGAGAGCTATAAAGTCAAACTCTAGATCCAAAAATATACCGTTTCGAAATATGGTCAAAAACTCAAATGCCGTCAAAGAAACTGGTTTTGTAGTGGAAAAAATTGTTGACAAACGAATAACACCTGATGGTAAAGTGGAATATTTCATAAAGTGGCGCGGATATCCTAGTTCAGAAAATACGTGGGAGCCAGAAGAAAACTGCGATTGCCCGGCAATGATACAAAAATTTGAGGAATCACGAGCCAAATCAAAGAAGCGTGGTGAAAAGAAGCCAAAACTTGAAGAAATTCAAAAGCCTCGTGGTTATGAACGCGGTTTAACAATTGAGCAGATTGTCGGCGCAACTGATGCTACCGGAGATGTTTCATACTTGGTAAAGTGGCATTTCTGTGATGAATTTGATTTAGTATCCGGTGCAGACTTACGTGAAAAGAATCCGGAATTTATAATCGATTTCTACGAAAAACGATCGACATATCAACGCAATATTAATGATCGGTTAATGGGTGTTCCGGATGAATTAAGAATTTTAAATGCTGATGGTGTTGAGGTTTCTAATCATATTGCCACAGATACAGTTGTAGCCCCTCCCCCTAACGCTCCACCGGACGTGATGGCAATGACTGCCGACGTAAATGATAGTGGCAGCGTAGACAGTGCCGTTTCCTACTCTATTCCTGTGCCAGGCGTTGGCAATATTGCTATCGATGTATCACTTCAACCCGATGAAAACATACAGTAATTAACGTATATTTAGTTCTCACTTTTAGTATTTAAACCTAAATAAAACTTCTTTAACAGCTAAAAAAAGGAGTAGATTTATGTTTGCAATTGCGATTCAAGATTGATAAGGCCAAACTTGGTTTGTCTAAATAGTTTAATAAATTCTCGAGCTGAATGTAAGATATCAGGCACTATAACTATTTGACCATCGTTTCGTTTCATTTTACGCCGAACAGACAGTTTGTTAGCGTAGGTTACCAGCAATTCTAATACGTTATCCGTGGGCTTTTTCAAGCCAACTGCGGCCACATAATCAAAACGGGAGTTTTTATTTAACCAATATAACAAATAATCGGCTATGAGATCTTCCCCCACTAAGTGGTCTGGCAAACATCCCGCAAGGGCGAGTTTCATGCCCATTTCATCATTTTTAATTTTCGGCTCTAATATACCTGGCGTGTCTATCATATACATAAGCGGATTTTCATTAATTTTGATTTTTTCCATTACCGAACGCGTAATGCCGGCAATGCCACCAACTTGGGCTACGCTCTTCTTATGCAAATTACGATTTCGTAAAACATTAATTAGGGAACTTTTCCCAACGTTGGGTACTCCAATTATCATTACGCAAAAATCCTTTTCTCCCTCACGATTATAACGAGCAGAGTTTAAGATTATTTCGTTGGCTAAGGGCATTAATCGTTTGATTCCGGAACATTGTTGATTCTTACAATTGGTAAACAAAACATGCTTTAAGCGCTCACTCTCTTGCAAAATTTCTTTAATGTTAGCTTGATCCTTAGTCGTTATCAAATCCTTTTTATTTAATACTAAGATGTGAGGTTTAATGTTCTCGCCGATCAATGTGTGCTGGAAATCAGTATTGCGCCCAGAGAATGGTATTCTAGCATCATGAACTTCAATAATGCAGTCGACCGCCTTTAATTTTTGTTGCATTTGCCTTATTCCTTTGTTCATATGACCTGGAAACCAACGTATGGGTTGTTTGGTTACTAGTTTGTAACTCTGACGAAAACTCATTTTTCTTACAAAATACTATTTTTTAGACGCAATGCTTATTGAACGGATTAAAACAAATTACACACACTGTGAATTGATAACCTAACTAATCATTTTAATTCTAAATACACAACAATATATACTATAAGCAATCAGCAAAAAAAAAAAATAAAAATATGAAAAGAAAATATCTTTGAAAATTCTTGGTGTAGTTAATTTCCTAACTTGGATAAAAATTGAAAAAATGAAATTTTGTGAGTTTATAATGCAATTATGAATGAAATACGATATTAAGTTTTCTTTTTCGTCTTATATAAAAAAAATGATTTAAGTTGACATCACTTAAGATTAATAAAATTTTTACCTTCTTAGATACGAAATAAACTTTGTTTACAAATAATGCAAACATTCCAATTATTTTTAATGTTCCTCTTAGTTTTAAGTAAAAATTTAAGGACTTTACAGAATATCAGCGACAGTGATGACGGTGTATGTATAGCAAAAGACGAATGTCAAATGGGCAAGTCCAGTAATTATAAAGAAGGCAAGTTTAAATTAAAAAATTATTTCAATGAATGATTTCTTCTACAACTTCAGAAATTACAGTTTTCAATATAATCATACAAGAAATTGAGAAAGCCCGCAAGTCGCACTCACCTTGTTCCACTGATCCGGAAGATGTTGAATGCGTTTGCCATCGAAATGTAATTGATAGCGATTTAGGCATTTTCCAAAAAAATGGCATAACGCGCAGTGCACTAGACGAAGCAGCTAAATATGGTACACGCTATAAAATTTATAACCACAGACTTTACAGAGAATCAAATTGCATGTTTCCTTCAAGATGTGAAGGCATTCAACATTTCATTCTCAAATTGTTACCTGAATTACCTGACATGGATTTGGTGATTAATACGAGGGATTGGCCGCAAGTGCCATTAACCTTTAACGCTGAATCGAAAGCAGTATTTTCCTTCTCGAAAACGAAGGTAATCATTTATCATTTCCATCAATTCAAGAATTCCGTTACAGCTGTTTTTTTCAAGAACTGTCGGTTTATTTCCGTTTAACAGAATTTTCGAGTATATTTTTATCACTTTAACAGAATTTCCGCGAATATTTTTATCACTTAATAGAATTTCCGAGGATATTTTTATCACTTTAAAACAAGTTCCGAGGATATGTTTATCACTTAACAGAATTTCCGAGGATGTTTTCATATAACAGAATTTCTGAGAATATTTATTAAAAGCAGCTCTATGCTCTCACCATTCTCAACAAATATTTTTATATACGATGTAAGGGAAAAAAGCAGCTAACGGCTTGTAGCGAACATATAAAAATCACACAAAATATGAACATATGAAGCAACCTGAATGCGTTGCTTATAGAGTGAAAATGATATGTTTAAATAAAGTTTTTATTCACGAAGGATTATGCGGACATCATGTATCCAGCGTGGACTTTTTGGGCTGGTGGTCCAGCAATATCCTTATATCCGACGGGTATAGGCAGATGGGATTTACATAGGGAAAATCTAAAAAGAGCTGCTGGGAAATATGCCTGGAAATCAAAAATTCCTAAAGGTTTCTTTAGAGGCTCACGCACGTGCAGTGAAAGGGATTCGCTGATTTTGCTTTCGAGAAAAAAATCCCATTTGGTCGATGCTCAATACACGAAAAATCAAGCGTGGAAATCACTTAAAGATACTTTGAATGCAGATCCTGCTAAGGAAGTGTCGTTCGAAGATCACTGTCAGTACAAGTATCTCTTTAATTTTCGGGGCGTAGCAGCTAGTTTTCGATTTAAGCATTTATTTTTATGCAATTCCTTGATTTTCCACGTGGGCGACGATTGGTTGGAATTTTTTTACTTAGCTCTTAAGCCATGGGTACATTATGTACCCTTGCCTAAATATCCAACCGAAGGAGACATTGAGGATATGCTGGAATTTTTCAAAAAAAACGATGATTTGGCTAAAGAAATAGCTGACGCAGGCTATGAATTCATTTGGAAACACCTACGCATGCAGGATGTGGAATGTTATTGGAGAATTTTGCTGAAACAATATGCAAAGTTATTAAAATTTAAAACTGAATTCGACAACAGTATGATCGAAATAAAAATTAAGAATAATTAGATTAATAATTGACATAAAAATTAATATATAAAATAAGGTGAAGCACCTTTGCTAATAGTCGAGGTTTTCTAGAGCTAATTTAGAAATTAAAATTATCGAATAATTTATAGTTCTTGAATATATAAAAAATTGAACAAACTATGGAGAAAACACCAGATATGATATATTCCTGTCAATCGTGCCTTTTTGATAATAACCAGCTTTGATTTCTGATTTGTATACGGTGAGGTGTTTCAATTCTTCTTGAAATCTTAGCTAAAACTATCTTAATAACAATATGATTATTACCAAAATTATCTGCAAATACATATATCTTTATTCAAAATTGTTTTCACTTGGATTTCCTCCATAATGTCTAGTAAATACAATTATCCCTACTGGAGATTAATCCCTATAATATATATCCGGGCCAATTAGAGGTTACCATATTCTTAAAAAGTACTTTAATAAGTAATTGTGGGATGGCAACATATGAACGAACGAACGACGGGTGAATTGCGGTCTTACTTTTTTTAATTGTCGTGAAAAAATCGAAAGAGCCCGTGTTAATCTTTAAAAAAAACTATTTTCAAGTAATATTTTTAAATGATGGAAGTTTTATTAATGCATGCAATTCGATAGTTCAATGTAAGCAAAAAGTTTACATTCTTTACTAACCGAAAAATATTTATAATAAATTTCACGATAAATATGAAAACGAACTGCAATTTAGTGATTTGCCAAAAGTTGCTCAAAAATAAAAAAACAAAATATTGGCAAACGGTACTTTCTTAAATAAAAGAATTATGTATGCACGTTATTTTGTAATTGAAAACAACAATAAATCATATTGACCAAAGAGGAAATAAAAAAAAGAGGAAAATGCTTGCATTGCACTAGAGTGCAAGTGGGTACGTGTGTGTAAAAGACAATGAATTTAATAAAATGAATGAATAATTATAATTGATTTTAATAAATAAATACCTACAAGTAACGAGGCGGACGCAATAGAAAGAAAAAACGACAAGGTAAGCGACTAAGAAAACCATAGATACAACAAATTTTGTTAACAATTAAAAGCAACGTAAAATGTAATCCTATACATTTTTTCTCTTCTTTATTCTTCTTCGTACTTATTGATTTTTATTTTTCGCAACATTTTTTTAAATAAAATTTGCCATTTAGATATAATTGGTTCATTAATACAAAAAACTAATTTACCGTCTCGCTATAACGGCGAAGATTAAGTAAAAAGATAATTACTATTATTATTAGAAAGCTTAACATTTTATGTACTTCCACAGTTTTTCTTTAATGTCGAATGCTGCGAGTATAACGAGCACAAACAGTTCACACAAGAAATGTAGAAGACACAACATGACCGGAATATGTTAAGTTTACTGAATATTTGTAACTACTAGAAATATTATCGGAGAGTTAATATTTGAATTTACGTATATCCGCATTTCTGTCCACTTTTACACTAAATGTCAAATCAAATATCAAAATATTAGCCCACACAATCAACATTCGAATCTGAATATATAATAGACAAAACATGATGTTTTTATGGAATGACAAAAGACAGTTCTACTTGGCCTCTAGGTTAAAAAAACCTTAAACTTTCATAGACTTTCACTTTATTCTTATGATACGCATTCTTGATAGTTTGCGTTAAACCTTTGTCATGAAGAAGAGTAGAACAAAAATATTCAACTGTTCATAGTTTTCCGATAAAAGTCTAGACTGTCTAGTCAAAATTCACGGGTTTTGTGCATGGTTTTCTGCTAAAACACATTTACATTTAAATGAGGTAGCAAAATGATTTGCTCTCAAAACTATTTTATATGCAAACATGATTAAGATATGGTTTTTTTATTCATCATAATTTTATTCATTTCGCTTTTGTCTTTTCACTTGCATTAGTCGTACGGGCAAGTAACATGTACAAAACTGAAGTAGGTTTAGAAATATATAGGCAAAAGAAATTTTGACTCCTGGAAATATTATATAACATTTAAATACTCGGCATGTAAGATGATACTCATGATTCTCTTGTCGCTAAAAAAGCTACTGTTCTCTGTCAATTAATTATCGATGATTATCTATAGAACCGCTTTCTAATTGCGTATATTTTTATAGAATTTTTTCGCTATCAACTAATTGTATCACTATTTTTGAAAGTAAAAGAACTTATGAGAATGCAAGAGATGTCAAGGTCTGACTATACTAACACATCAAATGTTCAGATATATCTGTCAATCTCATAGTCGATACATATGATTGCAGCTTGCCTCTAATGATCAATTTTTCTATTTTTCATGTATTTGCAATTAACGTTGATAAGAAATTTGAGAACTAAATAAATCTGTTTTGTTCAAATCAATTCGTTAATATATTCTGTATCCCTTCCGTTGTGAGCTCTAGATCTAGTGAGTTTCGTTATCAAATATAAGTGCATTTCGTGTTTATTTCCCACTTAATAAATGTTAAGAAGAAAAAGTTCATAAAACTTCCGGACCTTTAAAATATATTTACAAGTGAACAATCAAGCGTGAAATTCTAAAGATAATTGCGTATGAATATCGCAATGTAAATGAATATTTTTAAAGCGTTCCTAACGTTGAAGGTTTGACAGTGTTACAAAATGAATGTAATTATGAGCTAAATTTCTTTATAAAAAACAAAGTTTTGCATGAGTGGTTCAATGGCCAACTAAAGCAGCCAACCTTACTTCTTTATTTTTGAAACCTTTAATACTTTTTTTATAAATGACTGATTCTCACACTCATTCTTAATCTATAAATTGAATGATGGAATTCTTTAAAACCGTATGACTACGCTTTATATGACTTGTAAACTTGTAAACTTGTAAACTAAACAACAAATGGTTGCTTTAAATAGAATAAAACTTTCTTTAAAGTCTTACCATAGGATATTCAAGTATAGTTATCTTTTTTGAGGTTAGATAGATCACGTTCATTTACAGTTCACGTTCGCCTCAAATTTTGCTATAGATACATGAGTAAGGTTTCAATTTTTGTTTTTTCTTTGGAAGTTTATAGAATACGAGAAAAAGTGTATGATTATGCCGACTAGGCTGATAAGAAATATATTTTGGTTTTTATATGACATTATTCAATGCCTATATCTAGACGTAACCAATGAGATGACAAAATCAATGTGTGTACTGCTTTCTGGACGGAACATAATTACAAGGCAAATGAATGATCGACGATTAAGTTAATGCTTTAAGGCGAAAACCAGTTCTAAAAGTAAAATTTCTTGTGTTTCTTGTACAAAAAAATACATTATTTTTTGTTTATATAAAAATTTCAAGTACCAGTTTTAAATATTAAGTTAAAGGTATCAGCATATGAAATCATTTGTTTAGAAATTGTAAGTTTTTAAAGAATTATAAATAACCAGAGCTAGCCCTAGCAAAGAGAGTCTTATCTAACAGATGGCAATAAATTCTGTGCCCGGCTCCAGGAAAAGAAAACTTCTTTAACAAATGGTGAAGTATTTCAAAGGCGAAGTTCCGCCGTTTACATCTTGTTTCGTTTTTAGTTCGCTGGCACCTCATTATATTTCACATAAAGCGGCTTATTGCAGTCTCTGGGGAAAGTTTTTATAAAAAGTTAGTTTACATACGGATTTATTTGCAAAGCAAATAGTTTATTAGAATGGTCGAGAAATTTAAACTGCTTCACGCAGATATGCAGATCACGCTGGTGTCGTCATTGCGCTATTTTTTTTGTTTTTTTTTTCGTATCAATCAGTGAAGTGTAGTTGTTTTTGTGGGCAACTTTCGACAGGACAAGTCTCTTCCGCACAAAATACCACTTATACGGTACAAGTAGTAAGTTATTAAAGCACAGCCTAGGTAAGCAGAGCCTTTAACGAAAACCACAATAGATGGATCCTAGCAAACTGTAGTTTAGTAATGTTATTTTCGATCATTTTTTTTCATCTACTCTCTCCATCGTTTTTACGATAAACCGTTGGTGTATTTTTGAATAGATTGAATCACTAAAGCTTCTGTCGATTAAAAAGAGAAGCTAAAGTGCACACACTACGTTCGTGGGTTTATTTTTATCACAAATTGAACTTTAAACTGAAGGGTATTTATTTTTATTGTTGGAATTATAACCATAAGGCCATTTAATGCAACACAGACACATTTAAAATAACAAAAAAAAAAAAAAAAATATCAACATATGGTGAACATTGATAAATACCAAAGTTTAAAATGAATTTTGAAAGGCCTACCCACAAAGTTAGGAGGACTTGCTAGTAAATAAATCAACCGATGTTATTGTGTGAACTTTGAAAAAACATTTCGTACGATTTTGTTAAAACGTAGCTCTGGCTGAAAATTTTTAAAAAGCATTTCCCCTTTAGCAATAAAACAATAACTTCAAAAAAGTAATTTGTCTTATCCGCTTTACAATCATTTCCCTCAGGTAAAACTCACCCCTACATATTAGAAATCAGATTCTTACTTTAAAGCCTCAAGTCTGATACATTTTGTTTTTGCTTTTTCTGGGTGTCCAGTTACATGGGCATTCTGGGCAATAACACTGCAGAAAAAATTGCATCTTGCAGCCCATCTCATGCCCATTATCGTGCTGTGATTCCTGCAGATCTGAGGACTATCGACAAAATGCAATCATTTCTTTCTTGGCAGCAGCGAAGGGATAATTCACCTTATGGTCGTCATTTATACTCTTTATTTCCACAAGTAAATAAAGGCTCATGATTTATCAATTGCGCACCCGGCCGTAACATTATTTTTCTTATTAACAGGCAAGATGTAATAAACATCTATTCAAAATTAATATAGTAAACAACTCAATATACACATGTGAAGTTTTACAAACTCCTGATCATGCCCTATTTGTCTAAGTGAATGTTACCACTTCTATTCGCCATTCCACACTTCGAAAATTGCGTATACGTGGTCTTCGTGACCACAGAATTCTTGACATTTTGAGTTCTCGCAATATAACAGCTTACGTCGCAATCTTTTCTCTTTTTAAATCATGTCATCAAGACAACTTATGAACCTACTCTCTCTTATGCTTTTCTGCCCTTACACCCATCAATTCCTGCATATAGCTTTTTATGCTCATATATCACATTACACCTTACATGTCGGAATTTATTCCGCGCTCTTCTGTTCTCTCCTACGGGGCAGACGAGTAATATGCACATTTTAATAAAAACTAAAAAAAAACCGTGGCGGACGTATAACACGCAAAATCAAAAAAGAAAAACTTTAATCA